ATTGTTGTCACTGTTGTTTAGCAGGCTCTGGCCTGGTTCGAACCCACCAGCCCCAGTGCATGTGGCCGGTACCCTAAGCACTGAGCTGAGCCATTTTTTCATTATTTTAAATTAGACTTCTCCTGCTTGTTAATTCCAAAGCCTCAATTTAACTTCTTTCTATAATCTTATCAAGTAGATTTTCTTTCTTTTCAAATGCTGCACAGCAATTATAAATATAATTCCTTATGAATGTGACACCATTGGCCAGCCATCAGAAGGACAAGTACTTAAGGCTTGTATTCCAGCAAGGGGTCTGAAGATTCTTTCATCCTTGTTCAACAAGACCTTGTTGGCATTTATGAGATGGCCATTTTAGGTGACAAGTGTAATCTACAGCCACAGGACTGAGAAACATACAAAACACTGACTCAACTACACGAGCTACAGATGAATGAATAACTCATTCATTCCTTCATTATATTACTATGTGTGAAGCCCTGTTTTAGGTGCTGAAGAATCAATGCTAAACAAGAATGAGTGGAAGTCCCTACTCTGTGGTTCACGGTATTGTAGGAGAGACCAACATTAATCGAATAACACCAGTAACACAAACCAGAGTAAGTACTCAGAGATGACACATGGTATGAAGGTAAGGTCCTCAGAGACAGGCGGCAGCGTGTGCTGGAGGAAGCACGGAGGGGAAAAGGAACTGGAAAAAGATGGCTGAGTCTCAGAGAGGGAGAGGACTGTGTCACCTGGTGAGGTTGAAGGATGGGCAGGGACAGTTCAACGACTTGAATGCAGTGTTAAGGAAGGCTGTTAAGCAGGCGATCATGATCAGATAGGTGAGAGATGATGGTAGCTTGCATGGCATGGTTGTGGTGATGGAGGAAAGGGAGTCTGGAGAGAGATTTAGGAGACAGAGTGGAAAGAACGTGATAACTGAATGCCTGTTAGAGATGAAAGAGAAATAAGGTCAATGATTTCCAGGTTCGTGGCTTGAGAAAATGCAGGAAAACTTGCACCATCCACGGAGAAAGGAAATACTAGAAGAGGGCCAGGATGGAGAATAAAGACTACCATTTGGTGTGATGATGTTGACATGAGATAGCCAAGAAGAAATGTCAAGCTGTTGCTGGATATGACAGGATCTAGCACTATTCAGGAGAGCTTTCTGTCATGAGGGAAGTATTCTTTTCATTTTTTCTCTTCTTTTAAATAAGCTTTTTATTATCTAAAATTAGAGCTTTTTATTATCTCTTCACTCACAAGAAGAGAGAAAAGTACATCTCACGGCTTCCATGTGCACTATTCATCACCCTGCCTCAACACCCCAGCCTGCCCTATCCATGCCCTCATCCACTTAGACTGAACAATTTCTTTTTCTTTTTACCAACAAAGAAATGTTCCTATAACATTGGATAGACTGAAAAACTTTAAGCATGGAATGACATTATTACACTTCTGTTAAAAAGGTCATTCTTTGCTGCCCTCTTGAAGAAAAATAAGGTTAATTCTTGCTGCAGGATGTTGCACAAGACAGCAAAACTTCTATTTTATTTTTGGTATATGTACTGCCGAAGTGAGCATAGCAAAACTTCTAGATAGTAAATATTTTAGACTTTGGGGCCAGTCATTGTGGTACATGCCTATAATCCTAGTACTCTGGGAGGCTGAGGTGGGAGGATCGCTTGAGCTTAGGAGTTCTAGACCAGCCTGAGCGAAGTGAGACCCCCATCTCTACTAAAAATAGAAAAGTAGCTGGCTGTTATGGTGTGCATCTATAGTCCCAGCCATTTGGGAGGCTGAGGCAAGAGAATCACTTGAGTCCAACAGTTTGAGGTTGCTGTGAGCTGTGATGCACAGCACTATACTGAGGGCAATGAGTGAGACTCTGTTTTAAAATAAAAAATAAATAAAATAAAAATAGAAAAACTAGCTGAGTGTTGTGCTGCCTGCCTTTAGTATTAGCCGCTCAGGAAGCTGAGGCAGGAGGATCACTTGAGCCTTAGTTTGAAGTTGCTGAGAGCTATGATCATGCCCTGACACTCTATCCAGGGCAACAGAGTGAGACTCTGTCTCAAAAAAAAAAAAAAGAAAAAAGAAAAAAAAAAAAAGAACCAGAGTACATAAGGACCTGGGGCAACTAATTATCAAAAAAATCACAATAACAATCCAGT